TCAAAAATATAAATAAATTTATTAATTTTAATGAAAAAAATAATATAAGCCATTTAATGTTAAAATAAATAGTGGTCTAAATCATTTTTCCTTATAATATTTTTTTTAAATAATAGAAACAAATAAAATTTAGCTTAAAATTAATAAACTTTTGAAATTCTTACGAAAAAAAATAAGTAATATTTAGGGGTGTACCGATACCACTTTTTGGAGGCCGATCCGATCCAATATTAAATTGATCATATCTAATTTTGTATTCTGTAAAGAAACAAATGGTTTTAATTTTTAATATATTTTTTATTAGTATAACATCTATAATTTAACTATACCATAACTTATGGCATTTAAATATTATAATGATCTGTTATAGTTTATAATCAACTCGATTGCAATTCTAAAAGTATATAAAATGTTTTATTTGTTAAATCACTTTTATATAATAAGTAATAACATTAATCTATATCAGAGACCTGCAAGCCCGGCCCGTATTTTAAATTTTTTAAATATACCCGGGCCGGGCCGTGCCTAAAAAAATTTTTTTTAAACATATCCGGGCCGGGCCTAAAAAAATTTTTTTTAAATATCCGGGCCGGGCCTTAATATTTTTTATAAAAATTTTTACATTATGAGTTAATGGTTAACACTACCTAACACCCACAGATCTATTTAATTATTAATTTCCTGCAAATTTATTCAAAGTATTGATATATTTTTTTATAATTCATATCTAAATTTTTACAACATATACCAAAACAATCAAATAAAAGAATATCTTAAATAAGGCCCAATATTCAAGTATTATTAATATATTTTTTTATAATTCATATCTAAATTTTTAAAATATATTTTACCAAAACAATCAAATAAAGGAATATCACTTCTTGAAGTTTGTAATACCTTTCAAAGCGAAAAAGGAGAAATAAAATTGATTTTACTTAATATAAAGCATTTTTTAATTGAAAAATTTGTTTTACACAAGTATCATTTTATTTCTCTTTTTCCCTGTCCCAAATTCAAGCAATTACGTATGTTGTCAGGGACAGATCGCAAGATGACGGAAAACTATATAAAAAATAATATTAAATTACAAGAGGCTCAGGAAGTAAATGAAATACCATCGACCAGCCAAATTACGACTGTTGTTAAATAAACTGAATCGTTTTATTACAAATGGGGCGATGGTAATTCTGGTAATATGTCAATACCCGATGATGAGTATTATAATTACATAAATAAAAAAATAGATGAAACATTTAAGGTGGATAATTTGTTAGAGTGGTGGGCGGCTCATCAAAGCGAATTTTTTGCAATATAAAATATAGTATATGCTCAAAATATCCATTTTTATAAATAACAGTTTTATAATTTTTATAAATTCAATATAATATTCTCAAAATATTAGCTTTTTACATGTATTTTTTAAAAAATAAGTGATAATACTCGCTGAAAAATATGGTAAAATACCTCATAGGTGAATTTTTGTATATACCAGGTCGAATATAATTTTTTCCGAGCCGGGCCTGAAATTTTTTTTTAAATATCCGGGCCGGGCAGTAAAAAATTTTTTTTTAAAATATCCGGGCCGGGCCTAAAAAATTTAAAACCGCGCCGGGCTGGGCCGTGAATGGTGCCTCTGCAGGTCTCTGATCTATATACATAATAAGTAATAAACAAATATATTATGCAAGTTGAAATAAATATTTAAAATATATATCAAAAAAGATTTCTTTTTAAAATACCAAAATTTCCAATTTATCAGAGGTCAGCCTGCGGCAATGGTAACTGTCAATATCACCAGCTTCACTAAAAACAGATTCTGAAGAGATCACACTTTTATAAACAGAATGTGCAAAAAAATAACAATATAGCAGAATTAATTAATTATTATAAAAAAAATAAACATAAAAATGGATTTTGTTTTTATTTATAAAAATAAATAATTTTAGATATAATTTTTTTTTTAAATTTTACATTTTATTTTTGTTAAAAACGCCATTTTATATCAGATCGGAAAGTTTTATAATATTGGCCGATAACTAGTGCTGTAAAGTAACGTCAAAAATAACGTCGTTACTAACGACGTTACTTTTTTTGAAGAAAAGGAACTCCATTCGTTACTTTCATCTAAAGGTAAGGAGTAACGGTAACGCGTTTTTTTTTCAAGTAACGGTAACGCAAAACGTTACTTTATATTTTTTCTTAAAAAATATCAATAAAAAGAAAAGCATATTTTATTGTATATAAAATTACTTTTATTTATTTTTTATTTTTTAATTCTTAATATTAATAATTTAAGCCGAGTTTTAATTTTTTAAAATTCTCCTTGTTAAATTATCAGACGAAATTAATATTCAATCAAAGTTCAAAGTAAATATAATGATATTATTAATAATTTATTTTAAAAGAATATTATGTCCATAGTACTTACTTCTTCAGATGAAGAAGATTTAACCGTTCCCTGGCCCCAATTTGAATTATATTTTAAACCAATTAAGAAAATTAATGGTACTACACTTTGTAAATGTAAATTATACCCCAACGCAAATATTTCATCGTCAATGTCAAGTAGCTCAAACTTAAAAAAACATTTGAAGGTAAAGAATAAATTAATATTGATTCTTTATCCAACACACATTAAATATTTTCAGATAATGATAAAAATTTTTTTGATCAGGAAATGAATGAAGATCTCTGTGAAGATGATCTTTCAAGCTTTTTTCAAAATAAAGATATTTCCTTAAATATTTTTAATAAATCCCCGAATTGAAATTTTTGTTTATTAAATATAACACCACTCTCCCATCCTCTGCGCTAATTGAACGTGTGTTTAGCACGGCGAAAGCTGTGTTGAGTACTAAGCGCTCATGTTTATCTGATCAAAATTTTGCAAAGCAATTGTTGTTAAAAATAAATAAAAAATTGTTACATAAAGATGTTATCTTATAATATATTATTTTTGTATAATTTTATTCATATTATAATTATATATGAAAATTTTATTATAAAAAGATCTTATCTTATATGTTCTTTTTGTATAGTTTTATTTATTATATATTGTCGGAAAAAAATTAATATTTTTTTGCAATATATATAACATTTAATTTTTTTAAGTAACGAGTAGTCCGTTACTTTTTTGAAAAGCCGGTAACGCGCGTTCCTTTAGTAAAATGGTAACGGTAACGTGTTCCATTTTTCAGATGTAACGAGTAACGGTAACGCGTTTCTTCTTTGTAGTAACGTTTACAGCACTACCGATAACCTCTATTTTAAAATGGGTGAAATATCGGCCCGATCCGATAAAAAATATTGGTACATCCATAGTAATATTGATTTCATAGTTCAAATTATAATAAGAAATGAATAAAAATGGGATGTATAAAACTAAATAGGTAGTAATTTCAAGCTTGGAAAATCTTAGCTGTCAGTAGTGTTGTTAAAAGGCTCGTTTTGAGCAGATTTTAAAAACGACTAACTCAATATTTTAGCCAGAAAATATTGCCTAAGCCTTGAGATTTCGCTATTAGATGTTCAGACCTCCAGGCCATCTATGAGCAAAATCTTCAGGCTTGCGTAATATTCATCTGGATAAAATATTGAGTTAGCCGTTTTAAAAATCGGCTCAAATGGAGCCATTTAACAACACTAGCTGTCAGTATATTAGACAAAAATATTCATCTACCAACTTATTTTTAATGAAACCTCTCAATAGTATAAAATAAGTTATTAACTTTAAAATTTTGAAATAGCTTTAAAATATCTGCCCATTTTTATAAATTTATTGATCAAAAAAATTACAACCATTTATATTTCACCTGACAAAAATTATATATAGGGGTATACCGATACCACTTTTTGGAGGCGATCGGATCCGATATTCCGGATATTAAATTAATATCGGCTGAATAACAATCCAATATCATATCTAATTTTGTATTCTGTAAAGATACCATTTTAATTTTTAATATACTTTTTATTAGTATAACATCTATAATTTAATTATACCATAACTTATATCATTTAAATATATTATAATGATCAGTTATAGTTTATATTCAATTCAATTGCAATTCTAAAAGTATATAAAATATTTTTATTGTTAAATCACTTATAGTACTAGAAGGCAAGGAATTTGATACCTTTTAATGTTGTTCTCTAAATATATAAAATTTTTTAAAATTATAAATGTTAAAGTATAAAGTTATAATTTGATATGGAATTATCAATCTACTTTTAAAATGCACTTTTTTAAAATCATATTAATTAAACTTGCTTTGAATTTCTAAGAGCACCTATTGGAATTTATAATGAATTTGTAAGCATATCTTATATTAAAAATCAATCCAATTATATATATTACAAGTTTTGTTAAATTTAATAAAATTAACAAATTTAAATAAAATTTATTAAAAATTTTAATTTTAACATTTTTAACAAATAATATAAAATAAAGAAGTCAAGGTATATATATGGCAGAGATTGTTTTTCTACTTATAAATTTAATTATGAGTGAGATATCCTGGTCTTTAAGTAAATTAACTTATTTGATTTTAATGTTATAATTTTTTCTTTAAAACAAATTTATTCCTGTTATAATTTCTATACCTATAAGGGGGTTAACATTATTTACTATAAGAGAAGAGATGAGGATCAGTCACAAAATTGGTTTAATGTATCAAGATATTATTAAAATGTTTTGCAGATATATTGATTTTTCTATCCATTCATTCAAAAATTGTAATTATAATATAAGAGATTGTTTAGATTTGAAATTTTATATATTTATTCTAGAATTAGGGTCTATAAATTTTTATTTATACCTGTTTACAATCAATTAATATATAAATCGTGATCAAATAAATGAATTAGATAACTTTTCGCTATTATAATATTTAGCTCTTAAATTTGAAAATAAAAGTTTAAATATATCCAAACTAATAGGAATAATTATATAAAAACACAACTATCTTTAGTAAAATATTAATACAAATATGCATATTTACCTATATTCTTGTCAAACGTAATCTGAATTTAACCTTAAATAGATAAGTGTGATACGTATATATGGTTTTAACAATAAATGCAAGCAACAATTTGGCATACTATAGAATGATGGTTTACATGAAAATTTCGACGGCCATATTAAATGTATTAAATTATTATTATTTTGGAAAATTAATAGAGGGGTAAATTTTCAAATTAATTTTTATATTTTAGATAATCATAATTTAATATTATATATGAATATACTATTAAATAGGAAACAAATTTATTTTATTGAAAGCAGATTTAAACAAATTTTAGGCATAATTAATAAAACTAAATTTCCTTCCATTCTCGCAACCCCTTTCCCCTCCTTAAAGAATGAATAGAATAGTCATTATAAATAACATTTTTAACAAATTAAGTATATGGTTATTGACAGGGGCGTAGCTAGCCTTCACAATCTCAGGGGGCTCAAATACAAAATAAACTGGCATACAAAATAAACTGGCATACAAAAATAAACTGACATATAAAAAACGACATAATGCAATAATATAATTCTTAGCAACTTACATTGACAAAAGGTTATCAAACTAGTAAAGCTCTCTGTTACCATTTTAGACAATGTTTTATAGAATGGACTAATAAGGAAAAATTTATTGGCCTAAACCCAATCAACAATTTTTGAAGGAGAGAGTATAAACGACCAATCCAAATCATAAAACTTCTTAGATGACATGATGGAAGCTAGATAGGCAATCGAGAAAATTATTGTGAGATTTTAAATTTCTAAAAGATTATCTTCCATTTTAAATGATATATAAACGACTACACTGACCATTATTGTTTTTCTAAAATATGCAATTATATGCTCTCAGCCGTATTGTAATAATCTTAAATTACATAGCAACACAAATAATAGATGCTGGTTAATTTGCAGTAATAGCCATGACACTCACTATGTAAACTAATATCAGAATTTATTATGTTGGATAAATTGATAGAATAAAAACACTAAAAATCTTTGAAAGAAATAATTATGCAAATATATTGAAGCCTGGAGTTATTTATACGGCAATGCCATATTAGAAATGAAACGTTTTCTAACTATAAAATAAGGACCAGAATGATATGATAAAACAATTAAGAATTTACATATTGTCGCACCCCCTTGATATATTAAATCTTAAAATATAGTAGTTTGTAATTAATAATCAAAAATATACTTGTATTAAAAATTTAACTCAAGACTGTTTTTCGAAAAAGAAAAAAATAGCTTTCCAAAAACACGTAAAAAAAGAGAAGAAAAGATATCAAATTTATTACATCTATTGCAGGATGAATAATAAAATGTTTGATTTTTTAATTTATTTATATCTAAATAGATGGCGTTAAATACTTGAATGCAATTTGTTATTATATTTATTATCAAAACCATTTATTAGTAAAATAAACTATAATATTAACTGTAATATAAATATAACTGTCAAATACGTCTATAAAAGTGGAATTATATCTAATATTATATATAACTGTATATAGTAGAGTATTTTAAACTATATATCTACGACCTTGAAAATATTTTTAAAGTATGATAATAAAATTTAATAAATATACAGTGGATTAGTCATTTTGAACTCGGCTAATTACAATATTAAATTTGTAAATTTTCAAATAATATTTGATTATATATATTTAATTAGGGTAAATAATAATTTAAATAATAAAAGTCAATTAAACTTCAACTGTTAAAGCTAAATTAATATTTAGTGAGTTATTGATATTATATTTTTAATACAGAATTTGATTGCAAGCTGACATAGTGAAAATATAATTTATATGTATTAATCTAATCTAATAATTAAAATAATATTCATTTAATAAAAATTTAAATAGTCTTATTTTCTAAATAATAAAATTATATCTATATTTTCTTAATGGAATTATAAAAGAAATCATTCAGTGGGCAATCAAAAAAATTTATTTTTAATTCAAGGGGATATTAAGGAGCCATTAAAAAAAAAATTTTGTTTCAGGGGGCTATTCAAATTTTTCAGGAGGCTCGAGCCCCTGTGCCCCCCTAGCGACGCCACTGGTTATTGATAATTTTTATAAACTACTTTCAAAGCTTTTTTACTAATCATTCTCATTGATCTATTTTATATGTTACTGTCCAAGAAACATCTTAGAACGGTTACATCAAAAATAAATTAAAACTAGTCAAACGGCTAGATTTTTAAAAACAACTAATCCAATATTTTAGCCAAAAAATGCTATGCAAGCCTTGTGATTTTGTTATTATGTCTAAACCTTTCCACCCTCTATGAGCAAAATCTCCAGACTTGCTTAATATTTTGGCTAATATATTGGGTAATCAAATCTAATGACAACTCAACAAAAAGCGCTTTAAGTGTAGAAAATAATGGCGATAAATGAATTTTAAGGAAAAAAAGTAAACAAGGTGTGAAACCAAAATAATATCATTTAAGAGGATTGCCCTCAATCCTAAAAGAAAATATACATCCCGGACCCACGAATTCCGTCGAACTCTCCCATTCCCTCACACTGATTTTCTCAGGGTTTTCAACCTCCTTTTTAAAAGGAGCTAGCTCGCATTCCCGCTCCTACAATTTGAAAATGCGCTAGCTTCCGCTACCATTAATGAGTTTTTAAAATCAGCGGTTTTTGTTTTTTTCTGTTTGTGTAGTATTTTATGATTATTTATGTAGTTTTATATTTTTAGATGACATCTCTAGTAGTATTATAAAATGTTTGATTTTTTTCAACCCAGAACACTCTAAGTCGTAGAAATCGGCTCAGCCCTGAGCCAGGGTTGGGAAATCGGCCACGACCCAACATTATAGTAGCTCTTAAATATTTTGTGATTTTATTATTGGTATTCGAAATTGTTTATTTCAAAAATATAATTGATTCTAATAAATTTTATATGTTTCAAATAAAATTTTAATGTTCCAAAACAAATTATTTCAATATTGTAGAAATTATCTAATCAGTAAATGAACTTAGGTAAGTACACATCATAAATAAACACATTTTGAATAATTTTGAGAGTAAAATTTGTTTAGTACATAAAAAGTTAAAGGGTATTGACGTGTGCTGTAAACATTTTTTAAAAAATCAAACGCGTTCAAAGTTCATGGACAAAAAATTGAACACGTTTACGTTCAAGTTCACCTTCAAAGAAAGAAACGCGTTCACGTTTATTCAAATGCTTATGAATAAATTTTTTTTAAATTAAATTTAATATAAATAAATATAATTTAATTAATAGTTTTAGTGAATAAAAAATTATTTTAAAAAAATTTCTTATTTATTTTTAATATAGAAAAACTTTTATATATCATTAAAAATTTAATTATTTATAAAATATATAAAATATTATTTTATTTATTATTTAACTATTAAAATATGAAACACTTTATAAAATCTTAAAAATAATAGCGAAATTTCAAATAATCACGCTAAAAATAAATAATTTTTTGCTAGATATATTGATTTAAAATTTTATTTTATTTTATAAAATTTTTTGATGTCCTACTAAACCATTAAAGGTGACATTGAATCATCAGTTCACTTAAGGACGAGACAGAGGCCTCCTTTTCTTTTTCTTATATTTCCAAGGTCAGGGACTTATTTGAAGCTAGTAAGTTTAGCACCAGAAATTCTTATAACAAATCATTTACCTGAAAATATTTAGGAATAAAAAAATATTAAATTCTATAACACATGCTAAGGGGGAAAACTTTGCCGACTGGGAGCAAGGATTTGAAATTAGGAAACGAATGTAATTTTAACTTTGATAGATCGATCGAAAAGATTAAAGTCTTATCTTATTTCAAATTTATTAGTTATAAATTAATCGAGAAAGACACTTATACAATAGATGAATTAATAAACATAGCAATAAATTACAGATATTGAGAATAGTATATCCATCAAAACAGATAACAAATGCAAAGCCGAAGAAGAAGTTAAACAGGTTACGAGTGCTATAAATAAATTTCATCTAGAAAACTTGTAGAGTATGACAAAAACCACGTTTAACAATGGCCCTCACGATCTGGTCCTAAAAATCTAAGGTTTAACGATCAATACAACAACTACGTCCCACGTTACCAATATTACAACAGACACGATTTAGCAAGACAAGTTTCAAACTTATCAATGACCTTACTACAATTATCAAAAGATACAACACAAGTTATGGTAATAATTTCAATCAATATTGCAACCTAAATTTTAACAATAATGACGGTCAAACAATTATTTTAGCAATAAAAATTTTAGTAATAACAGACAAACTAATGACGGTCAAACAATTATTATAGCAACGGAAATTTTAAGAATAAAAGACAAATTAATGACAGTCAAAACAATAATTATAGAAATGAAAATTTTAACAATAACAACAGACAAACATATGACAATCAAAACAATTACCATAACAAATCGAAGATTCAACCACAGTGATAACAATGTACGCAATAAAATCAAACAAAATAGTTATTCAAAAAAACCTAAAAAAAACAATACTACAAGATGTACATGCTAGACATCTGGTAGCAGATAAAGCCAAAGTATTGGCAAAAGATCATGCGCAGTGGCCTGAAACAATCCTGAAACAGATTTGAGTATAAATAAAAATTTTTTAGAAGAGGAAAAGATAGTGTAATTATTCCAACACCGAGGCCGGTTAAAATACTAAACAAACCTGAGAGGTTCAGATATCTTATCATGTCTGTTGACGAGACATTAAAAAGATCTCAGTATGCAAAATATTTAGAAAAATATATAATAAAAAGTGCATTTCATTAAAAACTTTAATTAATAAATAAAATTTTGACGTTATCAAAATTCAAATATAAAATTGATAAAATATGATTAAGTTCATATAAAATTAAAATTACTAAAAAGGTGATATAACTAACACGCGCCAAATAAATATTTAATAAACGTTAAGATAAAAATAAAACGCGACTACAATTAAATTAAAACGCAATTTGTATAATATAATTATTCCGACACAATTCAATCATTCTTATACATTTTAAAATCATTCATATACTAGAATTTACATTACATGTATATACGATAACAAACAATGCTAATATATAACGATAACGAGGACACATTGATTTAAGCAA